TCCTGCGCATCCAGAAATATAATTTATGCTATCATGTGCCGAAAGTGTCCGTCTGCTATGTATATTGGACAAACGTCTCCGACACTTCGCCAAAGGATCAATGCCCACAAAACAGATATTAGACAAGATCACAAAGAAAAAACAGTTTCTTGCCATTTCAACCAGAAAGGACATTGTCTCAACGACCTAATCACATGCATCCTACTCCAGAAGACTTTCAGATCTGCACTTGAAAGGGAATCCTCTGAACTGTCATTCATGCTAAAATTCAACACTCTCCGCGGGGGGCTGAACAAAGACCCCAACTACCTTACCCATTACAAAGACAGCTTCCCCAATTATCACCTCTAATACCATTAGCTCACAGACATCTACCTTTCCCCACCTCTAATATCATTAACTCACAGACATTGGCCTTCCTCCCCCCCGCCTCTCCCTTCTGTTCTGAAATGTGATATGTCCTTTTCATATGTGTTCATTTTTTAAAATTGTATCCTTTGGTATATATGGTTGTGACTATTTTCTTCCACTATTTGATCTGAGGAAGTGGGTCTGGCCTACGAAAGCGCATCATCTAATAAACCATCTTGTTAGTCTTTAAAGTGCTACATAGTCCTGTATTTTATCAATAAACAAGTTTGTTTTGGCAGTATATTTAGTTCTTTGGTAGTAATATTGTATAGGTTGCTATTTGGATTTGAAATAATTTGGGAAAGTTAAAATTAATGGCCAATTTCCTGATCATATCTGATACATTTAAATCTTTCTGAAGATGAATGTGATTTCCTCACATGGGAACTGCAGAGCAAATGGAAGATTGAAAGTGAGCAAAAGTGTGTGTATATGGGATCATTTAAAATATTCTGCTCTTACTAAAACAGATAATCACTATTTCTGTCAGTTCTAAGGTGTCTGAACTTCTTGCAGAATCTGCCAGGATGAAATTACAGCTACCATTTAGCAGTTTAAAATAACTGTTCCAGTCATTGCCTTGTTTTCATTGCTTCCAGAACTACTGTTGGATTGAAATATTTCATGTATAATCCCTTCCTGAAGGTGGATTTTTCTGGAGAAAACTTCCACAAAATTGAAGCCTTATGAGGCTAGAGAAATATCACGGAGAAGTAGTAAAGTATTAAGTATTCTTAAATCTTATTCTAACTCCTGTGGATTCACATTAAAGAACTTGAATCTCAGTGAGGTCAGATGCCTTTAAGTTAAGTTTACACACAATGGAATAGAACCTTGAAGGTATTTAGAGCCCAAACTGGTAACATTTTTTGCCTAATCAGTTGCTGGCTGTTAAAAACATACATTGGATAATGAGGTATTTTGTTATGTGTACAGGTTATACCCGTTATGTTGTGCTTAAACATTTAGGAACTAATTTCGAAGTTTCCATTGCAGTAACAATTGTGTGTGTGCGCGCACAATGGGCAGCCTTGAATGTAGCCTTGTTCTAGCATAATTGCACTTGCAGTCAGTGTTTGGGTAGTTACGCAGTATTCTAGATATTAAGCAGTAAATGCTACTGAGGGTTTAATCTGTCTTGGTGTAAAACTTACATTTTTAGTTCTTTTTAAGATAAATACTTGTGGTGTTGGGATCTAGTCTTCCTCCTGGTACTCGGTGATTTCCAGCTCTTGTGCGGTTATTTCCATGAATGTATCACTGTACATAAGACTGAGGGGTAGCCACGTTAGTCTGTAACTTAAAAAAAACTTTTAAAATGTGTGGTTCCTGTAGCACCTTAGAGACCAACAAAATATATGTACTGTATATAGGTGCTACAGGACCATGTGTTTAAGTTTGTGTGTGTGTGTGTGTGTGTGTGTGTGTGTGTGTGTGTGTGTGATTTCGATAAAATTTGTTTCCTCTTAGAGCTTACAGCTATTTTTTTGTTAATGGAAGCTGCTCTGAGAGCCCCAACTTATTTAATTTTTGTCAGTTGTTAGGAATTATGCATGCCCCATTTCTCTATAGACCTGTTGAGTCTGGTTCCAGAGGCCATGTTTATATAGATCCTGTATCTCAGATCAAAAATCTTATAGTAGTGACTTCTCCTTCAGTAAGTAGCAGAAGGAACAGGCTTCAAAAGTACTTAACCCTTAAATTGAAAGAAGAAACTAATTTGCCTAAATATAGGAATCATTTACTAATGCTTACAAGGATATCTAAATGAGAATTCCCTGAGATGTTGTATCCCAACCAGAGCTCCTGTGGGGATGTTCATTCATCTTCCATGACCATTCAAGGAAGGGTAGGTGGTTGTATTTAAAGTATATTGGAAAACCTATCCGGGAAAGTTGGGTCAGGGCATGATTAAATTCACATATTTAAATCAGCTGCCAAAGAGGCCACTGTTAATAAAATCATCTAAAATGCAGAAGTTATTCTTGGATGGCTATTTTTAAGTCACTACTGCATCTTTGAGTTGGCCTTTGGAAAGTGATAAGTTTTTCTGTTTGGGGGAGTAAGGAGTATACTGAAGTTACCTCTTCAGATTGGCAGGTCAGCTTTACTTGCTGCCTCCCATAAACAATCTCAAAGACGTTCTGTTACGAAACTCTGAAATAAAGAAGGCCATGCATTACAAAATGTTCCCTTTGTTTTTGTTTACTAAATAAAGATTGGGATGCTATGGTAACATCAGTAAGTAGCCTGGCATACAGTCTCAGTGCATTTCACTTCACAATATTTTTACTTTTCCTGTATTTTTTCAACAACTCTTATTTTGGTTTTCTTGAGTAACATAAAAGTATCATATCTTGTAAATTTCCTCTGGTGTTTAGCATATTTCACGAAGGAAAATTTATGTAACACATTTCTAAGTGGACATTTGTTGAGGTGTGAGTTACTTAATGATTAGTATTTAGAGAACATGAGAGACTTTCCCTTGTCTTTATTTTGTTATAAGATATAATTATAGTTGTATATAACACAGATTGTTGCTGGTTTCTTGGTCTACTAGCTTAAAAAAAAGGTGTGAATGATGCCAGGATGTCTGGCTACAAGCATTTTCATGTCTAAATAAATAATGAATATGAATAAATGCAAAGTATTCTTTTTAAGGTTGGGGTGAGGAAATTAAATGCACCTACAAGGGAATGGAAATACCTGAAAAGATGATTGCTGAAAATGAGCATAGGGTGATGCTGATGGCAAATTAGATGTGACTTTGGAATGTGATATGGCTGCAGAAAAATCCATTTGAATTTGCTTCTGTGTGTGCAAAGATGTCACATGAGACCATATATGAAATGCATTCTAGTGCAAAGATCTGAATGTACAGGGAGATTATGTAACTCTCATGACTACAATGTGAGGGGTGTGCTATATCAATATTTTATGCAATGGAGTTCCCCAAACCGGAGATGTAGTTCTTGAAGCCCTGTTCACAGCTGTTAGCAAACACCGTTGCCCTTTGGTTGAGGAGCTTTTTTGTGCCATAATCTGGATTTAAGTACTCATAAGTTCATTAGAACAAAGTACTTCAGTTTGTAACTAGGAGCTAGATAAGTGGCAAGGCTGGAACATTGTAAGAATCCTATAGTTTAGTGAAAAGCAGCATGAGATGGTTATAGTCACTAAACAGTTGATAGAGAAGCTTGCTAAAAAAACTTTATAAACCTCTATTGAAATTTGCCATAGGAATAAGCATGCTCAATTATATTTAATATATCTTTACAGTATACATGTTTCCTTTCCCTCACCCACCCACTTGTCATTAGCTTGTGAACTCCTTGACCGTGCCTTTTCTGTTTGGACTGCTCCAAACTCTATAGTGTAGCACATACTTATCCTGAAACATGTTTTGTTTGGCAGTGTTCTCCAGTTACACTTTAATTTCTAACGCTTCTTGTTTTATAAGCTCAGCAGTCCTTGGCAGTGATCCTGGAGCTACTGAGAATTGCATTATAAATACTAAGTAATAGAAGATAACGTGTATCAGCACACAAAATGCATGCAACAGACTTTATATAAGGCTGTTGGCTGCACATAAGAACACTGAAAAAACTTAAAAAAATAACAAATGATCCTGCAGCACCTTAGAGACTAACAAAAAAAATAGTAGATCATATCATAAGATGTTGTGGGCACAGTCCACTTCAGATGGATTGAGCAAGGGGTCCAGAGGTACAAATAAATAGAAAAAGAGGGCGTGGGGAGGGAAAGAAAAGGAAAAAAAAATCCTGTCAATTAGAGTGTTCATGCTAAATAAGGCTAATAGAGTGGGCTATAAGTGCCTGATACTGAGCTTTTGATGTCATTGGGGTGTTGAATGTAGCAGCCCATCCACTTCAGGTCTTTGTTCAAACCTTGATTAAAGGTGTAAAATTTGCAAGTGAAGGCAGGTTCTGCAGCTTTGCTCTCCAGCTGTTCTTTGAAATTGCTTTGTAATAGTATAGTCACTTTTAGATCCATTAATGTGTACTTGGGCAAATTAAAATGTTCCCCAACAGGTTTCTGTGTATTACCATTTTGAATAAGAGCACTGTTCACAAGGTCTGTTAGAAGATAGAAATTTGCCAAGTCATTTATTTAGAACATTTTATAATACATATTGAGTACATTAATGAACTATTGCAATTCACACAAGTAAGCAAATAGTTTTTCGCCCTAATAACTTTAACTTTGCCATTGTACATATCGTATGTGGAGTGTGTGATTACTTTGGGTATTTAGCATATACCTACCCCTAACACGTTATGTAGGAAGACTAAGTGAGTTTGATGGAGTAAAGTTAACTGCAGTGACAGTAGTAATGTATTATTAGAATATATTTGCATAGCATACAGAACGCACTTTAAAGGTTGTCGGTTTTTTTAAAATTGCATAGTGAAAAAATGTCTTCCTTGTCATACTAACCTTGAATGTTAGAATGCCTGCTCACCTTAAATTGTTCAGGTTACTTGTTTTCATATTTGTGAACTCTGTTACATGTTGTGTACATCTCACTGTATCAGAATAGTAATACTCCTCTGCCATGTTTCTTTCAGATGTGAATGAGTTGAAAGAGTGCCTGTATGTGCTGGTGAAGGAACAGCAAGTTCTAGCCACGCAAACTGCCACAACAACTCTTTCGGCTCTGCGGCTGAAACAGAGGCTAGTTGTCCTGGAACGATATTTCATTGCATTGAACAGAACTGTTCTTCAGGAGAATGTCAAGGTTAAGTGGAAAAGCAGTAGTATTCCTCTGCCTTCTGCAGACAAGAAAAGGTAATGAGATCTGGACAAGAAGCTTGTTCTGTTGCTGGATCAGTTTAAAAAAGATATGAGTCACCTTTTTGTGACTTCACTGATGTGAGAGGCCTTAGCTCTGGTTTATTTTTCCTTCTGGACTTACTACACATGCCAAAGGTATTGTATGCCTCTCTGAGGCAACAGCTTTGGTCTTGTGTTGACACTTGAATATTTCCCTGTGCTTGCATTTCAGTGCATTTCTATGTCAGAAATTTCTTCTAAGCTGTAATAATATTTTCACCAAGATGTTTCTTGTGTGTCATTCTAGATAGCTGTAGTCAGGCTTGTTTAGAAACTACGTCAAGGAAGATCACATGGCTGTAATGACATTAGTAGCTGTATTATTAGAATATACTTAACTTGCATAGGCTACACTTTAAAGGTTACTTTTTTTTTTAAATTGCAAACTTAAAAATAGTTTACCTTGACATACATATCTTGATATCAGGGGAAAATGTTAAAAGGGAGTAGCTGCAGATATGGCAAAACAGTAACTGAAGAAGAAAACACCAGTTACTTTCCTGTTGTAAAGAAATGTGCTAATTCTGTTTCACAGACATGGTGTCAGTGGAGGGCAGAGGTATTCTGTATTTGAATAGGAGTGTGGGGCAACTCAAGTTGAAATTTTATTAGAACTGAAAGCATTTATTTATCTGATTAATTTCTACACTTTTGCAGGAATGTATTTAAAGGAAAGTGTACTTATGAATGATTTAGTGACGTATTGAAGCAGCAGTGTCTGGCTTTCTAAAATCTTTTGGCCTCAGTCATGACTTCAGTAGACAAGCATCATTTTTTTTTTTTTTAAATCACACTTGACATTTTTTTAGGGAAAACCCCCCAAAACTTGGGGTAATCCAAATCTCTGATGTGCAACCGAAAGGAAGGACAATTTTGTCATTCTTAAGAGAAACAATAGGGCTCATTTTGCATGTAGAAGGTGAAGCCTTTTTATTTTTATGTAATTTTTCATAAAAATAAAAATTAGTATAATATGTTCATATTTTAATGAATGCTATTAAGTAGTGCAGTCAGCAAATCAGCAGATTAATTGCAATTAATTACACTGTTAAATATTTAAATAAATGGCATTCTATTGTTTGTGGATGTTTTCTACATTTTAAAAAAATATTCATTTCAATTACTGCACAAAATAGAAAGTGTACATCGATAACTATCTTTGTTTACTTTTATTTACAAATATTTGTACTCTAAAAAACCCCATAAGAAATAGTATTTTTCAGTTAATCTCATACGGATAGTACACTGCAATCTCCTTATTTTATACAGTAAAACTCCAGTTGTCCGGCATCCAGTGGTCCGGCACTCCTGAGAGCCCAGCACTCCATGGAACCCGGAAGTGCTCCAGGCAGCCAGACAATTGGAGCTGCTCTGCCCCGGACTTCCCCGAGTCAGCCGCTGGTCAGTTTCAGCAGTGGCTGACTTGGGGATGCCTGGGGCAGAGCAGCTGGGGTGCTGCTGGGTTGGTCCTGAAGTGCCGCACCCCCCTCCCCACCCTACCCCAGACCCCTCATAGCCCCCCTTCCGATAGTCCGGCATATCTGATAATCTGGCACCCCCTGGGTCCTAAAGGTGCCGTATTATCAGAAGTTTACTGTACTTGTAAGTTTACCTTTCATGATAATGTACAAAAATAACTGCTTTAAAAAATAAAATAATTGTAAATCATTGAAGTCTACTGTCCAATTAATCCTATTTCTTGTTCAGCCAATTGCTCAGACAGACAAGTTGATTTACATTTGCAGGAGGTAATGTTTCCTGCTTATTGTTTGCAGTGTCACCTGAAAATGAGAACTGGTATTCACATGGGACATTTGTAACCAACATTGCAAGGCATTTATGTGCCAGATATGCTACAGGTTTGCGTACCCCTTCATGTTTGCCCACCATTCCAGAGGAGCTACTTCCATTCTTATGAAGATTGCTTACAAAAAAAAAGCGTTAATTAAATTTGTGAATGAACTACTTGCTGGAGAATTGTGCGTCTTCCACTCTCTTTACCTGCATTTTGCCATATATTTCATGTTATAGCAATCTTGGATGATGACCCAGCACACATTCTTTGTTTTAAGAACACTTTTACTGCAGATTTGACAAAACATGAAGAGGGTACCAGTGTGAGATGTCTAAAAATAGCTCCAATACTTGAACCAAGGTTTAAGAATCTAATGTTTTTTTTCCAGAATCTGAGAGGGACAAAGCATGGGGAGCATTCTTTAAAAGAGCAATACTCCAGTGCAGAAACTACAGGTCTTCCGCTGGTGGCATCTGACTCAGATGACTGAAATGAACATGTGTTGGTTCATACTGCATTGGGTCATTATTGAGCAGAACCAGTCATCAGCATGGACCCATGTCCTATAGAATGGTGTTTGAAACATGAAGGGATGAAAGAATCTTTAGCATATGTGGCATGTAAATGTCTTTGTAATGCAAGCTATAACAGTGCCATGTAAAAGCCTTTTCTCTTTCAGGTGACAGTGCAACTCCCTATTGAACTAGCAAGTAAAGTTTTTGACCCTCATCACAAAAGATAATTGGAAGAGAGAGAAGCAACAAAACTATTAGTGCTTAGCATCAGTAATTGGAGGGAGAGGAAAAAGAGAAAAAGTTGTTGGGTATAGATTAATCAAGGTGTATCAGAGCCAGGTTGAATATAGTGCTGGACAGAAGATATCCCAGGTGTAACATAGCTGCAGTCCTGGACTAAGGATGTTAAAATGTGGATAATTGACTAATCGATGGAATTTCTGTTGATTAGCCAATAGGCACTTCCATATTCCTCCTTTGAAATGTGCAAGAGCCCCTATTGTACATTTCAAAGGAGGAATGCAGAACTTGGTGTACAGTCCAAAGCCAGCAGGAAGTCCTGCTGTCTCTGGGCTGCATGCAATGTGCCTGTTTTGAAATGTACAAGAGTCCCCAGTGGGGGCTCCATGCTACGTTGCATGCCTCTAGGAGCCGGGGTCAGGTGGGAACTCCCCCAGTTGATCCTGGATTCCGGGGAAATGCTGCGAGGAGCCCCAGGCTCCAGGGCTGCCCCTTTGAATTGCATAGGGGCTGTCTTAGGATTTCAAAGGGGCAGCACTGCTGTGAGGCACTGCCACTTTTAAGCACTCCTCCCCCCTTTGCTGCCTCTATCTCAGAGGCAGCAGGGGGTGGGGAAGATATTGACTAGACAAAAGACTATCTGATAAGCAAATGCTTATTGGGTAGTTAACTAGTCTTCAACATCCCTGCCCTAGACATGACTACAGGAAGACCATTCAAAAGCATGTAATGATGAGAAGGCTTATGTTAAGAACTGTCTTTTAGGGTCATTCTTCAGGGTGTGAACAGTCATGTCAAAATATGTATGGATCTTGATATTAAAAGTGAGGCAGAAGTTAGAGGTGGGTTTGCAAGAAAAAGAAAAATGAAAATCAATTGAAGTAGACTATAAATACAGTACCATACACTTAGCAGAAATCTGATTGCATACGTAGAATTACAAATTCACTAAAGGGATATTTAACATATTAAAACAGTTTAATTTTTAATGCTTTAAAAATTAAAAATTCGAATATATACAATTTTTACTTTTTCACCATGTTAACTTTATTGAATTCATTGGAATAATAATCCTACTCACTTTCACTTACTGTATCAATTTGAATATGTTCTTTTGCACAAGCACAGGAATGCTGAGCTTTAATTTTTTTTATAAAAAGAACAAAAACACTTCAATATTTTTATTCATAGTGGTTTTTGGAAGTCACATCAATAATGAGAGTCCATGTTTGGAGCCTAAGCTAAATTTATAACCGACATTTTGTTATATAATTTGAAACTCTGAGGAAGGTTTTCAATACAATGACAGTTTCATGTGGCTAGAGTCTTCTCACTAGTTAACACTTGCTCTAAATTGCTCACAACTAAATAAGTACCACTTGAGAATTTTTTTTGTTAGACCTAAAATTAGAGCTTTTTTATGGAGAGTAGTAGTAGATTTTAGCAACAGGCAACACATATGATACCAGTCCATCATCTGACTTATTTTAAAATTAGGTTCTTGGTGGATGGGCAATGGAAATTAATGCTGGCTTTAACATTTAAACAACTTAAATTTCTCTTAAAGCATTTTGATTTTTTTAAATTTTCTTGTCTTAGTTCTAGGCCTGTAGGCAAAGGTGTAGAAGGACTTGCACGAGTGGGATCCAGAGCAGCACTTTCATTTGCATTTGCATTCCTTCGAAGAGCTTGGAGGTCAGGTAAAGTCTGCTTTGTAATCTTATCTTTGCCTTATTTTTCACAATGGTATGCAAAATTAGTTTTAAAAGAACATGTCTCCTCTCTCCCAGTCCCAACAGCTTTAGGGCTTTGGGAGAGATCTCTCCCTGCTGTAGCCCCGAGCCCTTGTGTGGGGATTAATAGGAAACTGCACACCCATGCAGCTTAGGGGGAATTTAGGTGATGGCGTTTTGCTTTTTACTTATCTGCCCAACTCCAGAGGGAGCCAGTGGCTCTGTACTCATATACAGTCCTTTATCTTGGACATAATCTTGATTAAATGGGGTTTTTAATTGTTTTAAAAATAACTGTTTTTAGGGTGCTGGTGTTAAATAAAAGTTGAATACTAAAAATGTGTCTAAAATAATAAATAATGGGACAGGTTGACAGGGCAACTGAGTCGATTCGTATTGTTGGCTATGAATCAAGAATACTTCTACTGTGTTGTGGGGTGCTTTGATGGTTAGCTATGGAACTCCTTGAAGTCCAAGCCAAAATTATTCTATGAAAATTAATCCATAGAAATATCCATAGAAAATTAATCACATGGATATCCATGTATCCATGGATTTTGCTTTTTCTAAGGTTCACATTCAGAATGATTTTGAGAAAGTACTGATGTATCCTTAATTAGCTACTTAGTACAGGTTGGACCTTTCTGGTCCAGCACCCTTGGAACCTGACTGGTACCAAATCAGGGAATTTTCCAGACCAGAGAAGGTTCCCTGCCATAGCTCAACCCCATAGCCCTTTACCCTCAGCGCTGCCGGCTCCGGGGGGCCCCCTCACTACTTCCAATACTAGCAATCGCTGCCCTCACTGTCACAGGCTGCCACAGGCTCCAGCCCCATGCTGCTCCTCTGCAGGTCCTACTCTGGTCCCACTGCCACAGTCTGCTGCTGGCTCCACTCCTGGTACCTCTGCCATGGGCTGGCTCTGATCCTGGTCCTGCTGCCACGGGCTCCCAGGGGCTATCAAGGGCATGGGCTTCAGCTTCATGGCAGCCTGTGGGCTCTGGCCCCATGCTCCCGCAGGCTGCCTGAGGCTCTGGCCTTGGTCCTGTTGCTGATGGTTCAAACTCCTGCCCTGTGGCAACCCACAGGCTCTGGCCCCGCTCCCACAGGCTGCCCGAGGCCCTGGCTCTGCATTACCACTGTCTTGCACTGTGGGTGCTGCTGGTCTCCGTGTCACAAGCTGCGGGGGCTATTGCTGGCTCCAGTCCCTCTGCTGTGGGTTTCTCAGGATTGCCACCAGCTCCAGTTCCTGCCCTGTCCCGCTGCTTCAGCCTGGTCCCGCTTCTGGATAGCCCTCCTGCCACTAGGCTACTGGGCTCTCTGATCCAGGAACATCTGTGGTCGTGCCAGACCATGGATGTTGCCAGACTAGAGATTGCTGGTTTTGGGAGGTGCAACCTGTACATACTGTGAGGTAACTGCTACGTTATCTTGGTTGGTAGGTGAGGATGCAGACCTTTGCAGTGAATTGTTACAAGAATCTCTTGATGCACTCCGAGCATTACCAGAAGCATCCCTTTTTGACGAAGGGACTGTATCATCTGTATGGTTGGAAGTTGTGGAAAGAGCCACTAAATTCCTAAGGTCTGTTGTGACTGGGTAAGTGGGTTGTTTGTTTGCTTGCTTGCTTGCTTGCTTGAACTGGCATTGAAAAGCTAATTGAATTTTTAACAACTGATGGCTAGCAAAAGTAGTTAGTGGTAAATTGAGTAGTTTCCTTGTTGGATACCCTGGCATCAATCAAGCAAGAAACAACTGTTTCTCTCATATCACTTGCTTGTTGTGCATTTGTTCTCTCTCTAGTCCATTGGAGTGAGGTTGTTTTTCATAATTCAAAGGAAATTGCTCTGATATAGTGTGCTTAGCTAATATAAATGGACTGTTTTAATGTTCAGACTTGGCATCTGCATTGAGTTGCTTTGTGTGAAAGTGAATGAGAATTGCCTACTGAACAACACATTGTCTTTTGTTTAAAAGCACCAAATAAACCACATTTAAATGAAAGTGGTCAATTTTTTTTGATAAAATTGAGATGCAAAACAGAAGTTGGGAAGTAATTTTAATACAAGACCTGGATTAAAAACTTTTGCCAACACAGCTATGTCACTTAGCTTTGAGATCCCTGCTAGGTGTGTGCAGGTCTCTGAGGCCATGTCTACCCAGCAGCGTTAGTTCGGAATAACTGACGTTATTCCAAAATAACCTCTTCCGTGTTTACACAGCAAGCATTTATTTCAACATAATGCTGAAATAGTGTCGAGCTGGAGGATGACTTACTCCGATTCCTGTAACCCTAATTTTACAAGGTGTAAGGGAAGTCCAAGGAAGTGTGTTCTAACTCAGACTTCCTGCTGCATAGACAGCACCAAAAGCCAAAATAAGCTATTTCAACTTAAGCTACGCAATTGACAGCTCAAGTTGCATAGTTTATTTTCGCTTTAGTCCTGCTGTGTAGACGTGCCCTGAAAAGGGCCATATTTTTGCAGTTGAATATATCTGCCATACATACACCCATATCGTACAAAATCTGAAAGCTTTTGTACCTTTAGAAGAGGCATGATGTGGCCCTATCAAGTGGTACTGTAAAGCTGTGGCAAAGTGAAACAGTGGTCCCTAAATGAGTGATTTTTTTTTCCACAGTTTCAGAAACATGGCAAAATGGCTGTAACTAATTTTTACTGTTTAAGAGAATTTCAACACTTTTTAATGTGGTGGTTATTTTTTCAAAGCTACCAAACAGTGTATTGAAAATTTTTTACTGACTTTGCATTGACTGCTTTTTTTTCACAGAAATGAAGCTATTTAGCATGTGACGAAAATGGTTAATATCAATAGTTTGCAATATACATACAAGTTCCTTATAAACTGCATGACCATGCAGCTGCCTGTTTAATGTCATGCAGGTGCCCAAAGAAGCCACACAGGCCAAGGACCTGCATCAAGGGGTTTTGGTTTCCCCTGTCCTCTGGCCCAGCCTAGCCTGCCTTCTGGGATTAGGGCAACTGGCCCCTGGCCTGGCCCCCACCCCAGTCCCCACCAGCCATGCCAGTATGAGGAAAGGTGCCTTCCCCTCCCACCCAGATGCTACTGTAAAGGGGGAGAGTTGCTGGGAGTCCTGTCTCATTGCAGTAGCTGAGAAGCACCTTTCTTCACTTGAAACCTCTCCTGAACCCGGCTCCAACCCATAGACTGTATCCCTAGCTACTCCTGCACCTCAGTCTCTGTTCCAGCCCTGAGCTCCTCATTCCCGACTCCACCACAGAGCACACACCCCAGCTAGTGCCCTGCAGCCTTGTATGCCAACCTTCTGCCCCAGGTTTCTTTTCTTACACTACAAACCTCTTCGCCCCATCCCTGCCTCATGAATTTTGCTATGGGCGCTAATATGAATACTTCACCACCTTATTGGCACTCATAAATTCATTCTGTTCAGGGGTGGGAAAAATGGAGAGAGCATTGCTGGGTACTTCTCAATGGGTGGAGGCCTCAAGGTCTGCCCAGGATGTGCTGGAGGGATTATATCTCCCAGTTGGCCTAAGATGTCTGGGTAATCACACAGGAGGAGCTGGAACATGTTGCAGAAGAAAAGGTGGTTTGGTCCTTCCTACTCTCCGTGTTACCACTGTGACCCTCATTAAGGAGCATCCTCCTTCACTTGAAACCTCTCTGGAGCCTGGCACCAACCCATAACCTGTATCCCTAGCCAGACCTCTAGCACCCCTGCACCTTAATCTCTGTTCCAGCCCTGAGCTCCTCATTCCCAACTCCATCCCAGAGTACATATCCCCTGCTAGCACCGTATAGGCTTGCATATGGTGCACATAGGAAAAAAGATTATGATCTTAATTAGCAAACTATTTCACAAGAGATGATAGGTTTCTATATTTGCAACTGAAATGTGCTGAGCAGATCAGTATCACTGAAGCTTGTGTACCAGCAGCATGCCCAGTTTGTACTCCATAATATGTAGATATAAATATACAGGCAGTCCCAGGGTTACG